CAGTTTGCCAACCCCTGATCTAAAAGAAAATGGGAGAACTATTTTTAAGCAGCTTCCTCATGACCATTTCTACTGACCTGTAATTCATGTATTTTAGATATGCAAACCTCAGAGTTAGTAACACAACCAGTATGTAGAGATTCTCCAGGTTGGAAGGAGCATCTGAATCTCACTTCCCGCTCCACAAAACAGTTATCACGGAAGCAGTCATTCAACTTCTCCTCAAGCACTCCTAATGACAAGGACATTTGCCCGAGCCGGGTAGCTCAATGGTTGGATCATCGTCCTGTACACTAAAAGGTTGCAGGTTCAGCCCTGGCCACTGTGCTTTCAGTTGATTGGAGCATCATCCCATGTAACAAAGGGTTTCAGGTCTGATTCCCAGTCAGGGCACATACCCAGGTTGTGGGTTTGATCACCAGTCAGGAAGAATATAGGAGGCAACCAATTAATGTTTCTCACATAGATGTTTCTCTCTCCCCCCGCCATCCCTCCCCTTCTCCCTTCTTCTCGCTCTAAAAACTTAATTAAAAAATATAAAAAATTATTTTAAAAAAAAGGTTGCAGGTTTGATTCTCAGCCAGGGCACATATCTAGGATGCCGGTTCAATCCCGGGTTGGGGCGTGTACAGGAGACAACAAATAAAAATTTCTCTCTCACATCTGTACAACTCTCTCTCCCTCCCTCCCTCACTCCCTCCCTTTCTTTCTCTCTAAAAAGCAATTAAAAAACAAAAAATATTCTCTGGTGGGGATTTTTTTAAAAGACATTCATTCCCCCCAAGGCAACTCATTCCATCTTTGGACAGCTATACGGGAAGATCTCCTACTTATTTTTTTAGCACATTTAACACTTGATTACTTGTGAACTGGTTTACTATCTCTCTTTACAAGAATGTCAGACTCATGTCAGGAACATGATTTTTTTATGTTTACAGCTGTTTTATACTGCTGTCTCTCCAGCACTTTCAACAGGATCTGGCACGTAAGGGTAGAAAATAATTATTTACAGGGAGGGAGGGAGAAAGGGAACAAAACAATGCCACATCTATGGAACTTTAAGTAATTCAGCAGGGCTTATATGAGAGGCACAGAAGGAAAAGCAGAGCAAGTAACGCAGGTTGGAGTGCAGACAGGGTGCAACACAGGAGCCCTTGAAAACTCACAGCAAGTACAGAGGCTAAGGTGTTAATGTTTGAGGAACAGTTTACCATTGCCTTCCTCCCCCTCCTCTTCCTTCCAGCCTCCCCTGCCCCATTCTGACGGAGAATATCTTTCACTGCAAAACCTTTGCAAATAACCCCTCCCCCAACCAAAATGCACCACCCTAAACTCTGTAGATACTTCTATCAGAGTATCCATGATACTCTGCTTTCATGTTTGTATTCCTCTACTGGGCTCTGAGCTACGAGAGCAGGGACTATGCCATCTTTATTTTTCTGTCCTGGGCACTGAATACTGTGATGTGGGGCAAGGTTGAGAACCTTATCAATGTTTGGTAACTAAATGAAGGCAACAATCTCACAGTATTCTGTAATGGCCAAACGGCATCTAACAAACTGTTTTCATATCCAGGCAACTACATTCTAGGAAAGAAAATTAACCTTCAAGCCAAAAGCTGCAAACGCAAATGCCAAAGAGATATGGCCAATACTGTGAGTGACAGCCTGGTAGGATGAAGGCTAAGAGGGAAATGTATTTAACTCAAAAATTTTTAAAGAAATAAAAAGAACACCACTGTAGACCCTTCAAAACACACTGATATGCCTGCAAGTGGATAAAGTAAGCAAATTTGCAACTTGTCTTGGACAAAGGGATTTAGGCAAGAGAGTAACAAAATCAGAATTGCA